TATAAAACAACCATAGTTTTTGAAGCCTACTATTATTGATTTAAATACATATGAACAAAAATTTTAATAGATATTTTACATTTTTCTTCTTGAACATGTATTTCCTTTACACTTAATGCATAGGCATTTTTTTTCCAATATAAGATATTTTAAGCTTGAAAGTCATCCTTTATCATCCTGTCCTATTCCTTTGCATCAAAAACATGTATGTAAGCTTAATATATTAAATTGTGTGACTAAAAAATTTTAAATATTATGATTTTCTCATGAATTATTTTATCACAGATTATAGAACACGTCATCAAATAATAGAAATAAATGAAAATTTTAAAAAATAAGTAACATGAAAGGAAAATTTTACTGCAAATGAATCTCTTTATGAGGTAGATGAAGAGTTATAAAAAATTGATCATGTCAACAAAAGCAAAGAGGCAACCCAAGGAATGGGAGAAGATATTCACAAATGACAATACAGACAAAGGGCTGATATCCAAGATCTATAAAGAACTCCTCAAAATCAACACACGCAAAACAGATAATCATGTCAAAAAATGGGCAGAAGACATGAACAGACACTTCTCCAATGAAGACATACAAATAGCTAACAGACACATGAAAAAATGTTAATCATCATTAGCAATCAGGGAGATTCAAATCAAAACCACATTGAGATACCATCTTACACCAGTTAGACTGGCCAAAATTAACTAGACAGTAAACAAGAAGTGTTGGGGAGGGTGTGGAGAAAGGGGGAACCCTCTTACACTGTTGGTGGGAATGCAAGTTGGTGCAGCCACTTTGGAAAACAGCGTGGAGATTCTTTAAGAAATTAAAAATAGAACTTCCTTATGACCCTGCAATTGCACTGCTGGGTATTTACCCCACAGATACAGATGTAGTGACAGGAAGGGTCATGTGTACCCCAATGTTCATAGCAGCAATGGCCACAGTCACCAAACTGTGGAAAGAACCAAGATGCCCTTCAACGGACGAATGGATGAAAAAGATGTGGTCCATTATATAGTATGGAGTATTATGCCTCCATCAGAAAGGATGAATACCCAACCTTTATATCAACATGGATGGGACTGGAAGAGATTATGCTAAGTGAAATAAGTCAAGCAGAGAGAGTCAATTATCATATGGTTTCGCTTATTGGTGGAGCATAAGGAATAACACGGAGGGCATTGGGAAATGGAGAGGAGAAGGGAGTTGGGGGAAATTGGAGGGATAGACAAACCACAAGAGACTGTGGACTCTGAGCAACTAACTGAGGGTTTTGGAGGGGAGGAGGGTGGAAGGTTAAGCCTGGTGATGGGTATTGTGGAGGACGTGTATTGCATGGAGTGTTGGGTGTGGTGCATAAACAATGAATTCTGGAACACTGAAAAGAAATTTAAAAAAAATTGATCATGTGTATCAGGGAACAGATGTTAATTTTTAATTGACTACTACATGGCTAAATGTAAGTTTTTATATTTCTTTTATTTTTATAGACTTGAAAACCTTGTCAACATAAATTAATAGGTAAGAATGGAAAAGGAGTTCTATGCCAAATATTACAGAGTGATTGATCATTTTTTATGATCTGTGTGCTGAGAATTCAGTTAAGTTCTACATCAATTTTGTTGAAAATAAAGCATTGAAATAACCTGCCTTGCAAGATGATTTGTTAATCATTAGAGTTACTCACTTTTTCAACTAACAATAATTTCTTTCTTTTTTTCTTTCTTTCTTTCTTTGGCAGTTGAAACAGAGACTGTCAGAAAGGGATTGTAACTTAACAATTGGCACATTCTCAGGCAAAGCAGTTTGAGGAAAGAGACTTGTGGTAGTTGAAATTTTTAGACTTAAGTTCCTTAAAACTCTTCATGCCCAGGAACCCCTAGGAAAGTCTTCACATACTGTGTGCCTCCAACCACATTTCAAACCACTGAAGTAGAGAACTGACTTGAAAGGTTTTCTTGATTTCTGGTTTATAAACTCCAAATTAAGGGAGGCTGGAAAATTCCCCTGAGCCACAAGCACTGGCAAAGTTCTGTTTAGGTTTCAGCTATGTACCCTTCTCTGAAAAAATTATGCCTTATATGTTGCTTGGGCCCAGGGAGTATGATTCATGACTGTGTACTTCCAAGAACCCAGCTTAATCTTTTGCATATGATATACAGATAAACCAACATACTTCATAACTTTCCTTATGTATGTAATTAAGCTCAGTGGTAACTAAATGACACATTTGAGTTTCCATTGCCTTAGAAGAGGAAGTGGGAGCAAAGAGTTGAAAATTAGAAGATGAGAAAGAATTATTTTCTTTTAGCCAGTTTAATTTTGGCCTCAAATGCGGACACTATTTCATAGAGAAATTCATGAGCGTTTATTCAATTTTTAAAAAGACTTTATTTTTTATAGCACTTTTAGGTTCACAGAAAAGTTTAGCAGAATATTCAGAGCATTTTCCATACCCCTGCACTCACACATTCATACTTTCCCATATTATCAGTATCTCCCATCCCAGTGGTAAAGTGGTTACAATCATTGAACCTACACTGATACCTTATTATCACTCAAAATCCATGGTTTACATTAGGGTAGACTCTTGGTTCTGTATGTTCTGTGGGTTTGTACAAATATATAAGGACAAGTATCCTCCATAATACTATCATAAAGAGTTGTTTCACTGACCTAAAAATCTTTTTTACTGTGCCTATGCATCCTTCCCTCCTCCCAAACCCTGACAACTATTGATCTTTTTACTGTTTCCATTAGTTTTACCTTTCAGAATGTCATATAATTTGAAGCATGTAGTATATATAACCTTTTCAGATTGGCTTCTTTCACTTAATATCATGGATATAAGATTCTTTTTCATGGCTTGGCAGCTGATTTCTTTTTAGCACTGAATAATATTCTGTTGTCTAGATGTACCACAGTTTATATATCCATTCACCTACTGAAAGACATCTTGGTTGCTTCCAAGTTGGGGCAATTGTGAATAAAGCTGCTATAAACATCCATGGGCAGGTTTTTATGTGGACATTAAGTTTTCAACTCCTTTGGGTAAACGCCAACAAGTGCCAGTGCTGGATCATATGGTAAGGATATGTTTAGTTTTGCAAGAAACTGCCAAACTGTTTTCCAAACTTGCTATAATCATTTTGCATTCCAACTAACAATGAATAAGAGTTCCACATGCCCCACATTCTTGCCAGTATTCGGTGTTGTCAGTATTCTGGATTTGAGCCATTCTAATAAGTATGTGGTGGTATCTCATTCTTTTAGCTTACATTTCACTGAAGACATATGATGTGGGGCATTTTTGATATGCTTATTTGCCATCTGTATATCTTGTGAAATAACTGTTAAGGGTCTTTGGGCAGTTTTTAAATGAAATTGTTTTACTTTTGTTAAGTTTTAAGAATTCTTTGTATACAATAACAATCCTTTACCAGAAATGCCTTTTGCAAGTATTTTCTTTCAGTTTGTGCTTGTCTGTTCATTCTCTTGACAACTCTTTTGCATAGAAGAAATTTTAATTTTAATGAAGTCAAGTTTATCAGTTATTTAGTTCATAGGTCATGCCTTTGGTGTTGTATCTAAAGTCATCACCATACCCAAGGTCATCAAGGTATTCTCCTACATTATCTTCTAGGAGTTGTATAGTTTTTCATTTTACATTGTGTCTGTGATCCATTTTGTGTTAATATTTGTTAGGAGATAAGGTCTGAGTCTAGATTTATTTATTTATTTTGCATGTGGATGCCCAGTTGTTCTAGCATGATTTATTGGAAAAAAAAAACAAAAAACCTTTTGCTCCATTGTACAACCTTGGCTGTCTTGTCAAAGGTCAGTTGACTATATTTATGTGATTCTATTTCTGGACTCTCTGTTTCATTTCACTGATCTATTTTGTCTATTCTTTAGCCAGCACTGAATATATTTTTGCTATTATTATTTTAGAACAAACTATTATCTGCTAGATAAATTAAAAATAAGAGAAATAAAAGATTTTATCTTTACTTTTCCTTCTCCAATAATATTCTTTATGTAGATCCAAATTTCTTACTTATGCCATTTCCTTCCTTCTAAAATATGTCTTTTAAAATTTCTTAAAAGGCAGGTCAAAAGGTAAGAAATTCAATTTATTTTTTCAACATTCAATTTTTGTCTGAAGAAAATTTTATTCTTAACTTTTAAAGGATGATTTTGCAGGGTGCAATATTCTAGGTTGGTTGTTTTTCTCTCTCAACATTTTAAATACTTCATTCCACTCTCTTCTTGCTTGTATAGTTTCTAAGAAGTCAGATTTAATTCCTATCTTTACTCCTCTATAGGAAAGGTATTTTTTCCCCTTCAGCTTCTTTTAGGATTTTTTTCTTTATCCTTGATTTTCTGTAGTGTGAATATGATATGTCTATGTGAACTTTTTTAAAGTTTTTATTCTGCTTATTATTCTTTGAGCTTCCTGAATCTGTGGCTTGGTTTCTGACATTAATTTGGGTACATTCTCTGTCATTATTCCTTCAAACATTTCTTCTGTTTGTTTTTTTGTTTGTTTGTTTGTTTTTTGTTTTTCCCTTTCTTCTTCTTATGGTATCCCCATTACATGCAATGTTACACCTTTTGTAGTTGTCTCACAATTCTTGGATATTCCGTTCTGATTTTTTCCCATCTTTGTTCTCTTTGCTTTTCATCTTTGGAGTTTCCATTGAGGTACTCTCAAGCTTAGAGATCTTTCCTCAGCCATGTCACTTAATAAGCTCATCAAAGACATTCTCCATTTCTGTATTGTGTCTTTGACTTCTAGTATTTCTTTTTTGTTTCTTGGAAATTCTATTTATCTACTTACATTGCCCATTCTTGTATGCTGTTTACCTTATCCATTAGAGCCCTTAGCATATTAATCAGAGTTCTTTTAAAATCTCCTTTGGATAATTCCAATATCCCTGGCATATGCATCTTGTTCTGATGGTTGCTCTGTATCTTCTGTATCTGTACCTTGCCGCCGCCGCCATGATCATCCCGGTGCGCTGCTTCACCTGCGGCAAGATCGTCGGCAACAAGTGGGAGGCCTACCTGGGGCTGCTGCAGGCCGAGTACACCGAGGGGGATGCCCTGGACGCGCTTGGCCTGAAGCGTTACTGCTGCCGCCGCATGCTGCTGGCGCACATCGACCTGATCGAAAAGCTGCTCAACTACGCGCCCCTGGAGAAGTGAGGGTCTGGCGCCCCCACCCTGCTCCCCGCGGGAAGCTTACCCCGCCTGCCGGCCCTGCCCTCCGCCCTTGGGCCTGTGTCTCTGCTCCGCGGGCAGCTGTCCAGTAAAGGTCTTCGCAGAACCGGAAAAAAAAAAAAAAAAAAACCTATGTTTTTTGTTTGTTTTATTTTGCATTATAGTATGTCTTATAATTTTTTTCTTGCTAGCTAGACATGATGAACTGGGTAAACGGCACTGCTGTAAATAAGTCTTTAGTGATGTGTTCTCAGGTTAGCAGGGAGGGGAAGCATTCTGTAATCCTGTTATTAGGTCAGTCTTTTAGTGAGCCTGTGCCACTGTAAATTTCACAGGTGCTTCTCAGTTTTCCCATTTCCCACTTAGATGGGACAGCGTGGCTAGAGTAGGCTTGAGTTAGGTATTTACTTTCCCCTACATAGAAGGCTAGACCCAGTTGGAGTTAGATATTTACCTTCCTGGGGTCAGTTAGGCTCTGAAAAAAATCTCAGCAGGTTGGGTTCTGGTTAAATAGTTTCTCTTAAGGGCAGACCTTGTTAAGAAAAAACATACTCTGGTGCATTTCAAAGTAGTTCTTTTTGTCCCCATTCGTCTGGAAACATAATGGGTTTTTTCTGTGATATTCACTGTGAGAATCTGCTAGAGTTCTAATAAGCAAAACTCACAAAAGGTTTCATACCTCCACTGCCCCACCATGACTGGGACCCTCTAGAGTGTTTATCTCAGACATGTACCTCCTGAGCCTCCCACAGTATATTACAATTCAGGTTACCCTATCCCAGCACTGGTTCCCATGGAGGTTTTTGCTTGGGAGTGTATTCTCTGGTAAGTTGCGATTCTCTGTATTTTCCTATTTGTCCCTCCAATTTTGGAGACAGTGGTTGGCCCTGTGACCTCTCTTATATATACAAGAAGAGTTGTTAATTTTCTATTTTCCATCTTTTTACTTGTTCTTTGGATAGAGTAGTTGACTACCACACTTCTAACACACTGGATCAGAAAGCGGAAGTTCTTTTAATTCTTTCTTCACTTTTTTTTTTTTTAAAGATTTATTTATTTATTTGAAGGAGAGAGAGCGAGAGAGCAAGAAACCACAAGCAAGCAAGCATGGGGTAGGGGAGGGGCAAAGAAAACCTCAAGCAGACTCCCCACCAAGTGTGGAGCTCTGATACAGGGCTTGATCTCACAACTCCAAGATCATAACCTGAGCCAAAACGAAGAGTTAGACACTTAACTGAGTCACCCAGGCAACCCTCTGTTCATTTTTTTTTTAAGATTTTTATTTATTTATTTGACAGAGAGGTACAGAGAGAGCACAAGTAGACAGAGCAGCTGGCAGAGGGAGAGGGAGAAGTGGGCTTTCTGCTGAGCAGGGAACCTGATGTGGGAATCAGTCCCAGAACCCTGGGATCATGACCTGAGCCAAAGGCAGACGTTAACCAACTGAGCCACCCAGGGATGCCCCCTCTGTTCATTTTTAAGAAGAAAAAAATTCTGTGTCTAATTACAGATAAAAGAAGAATATTTGTATTTTATATTCCGATTCATATATATATATATATATACATAGATATATATATATATATATATGACACATGGAAATTCTAATTAGAAAACAAATAATGAGAATAAACATCATAGGAAATGCTAACTTTGGAGTTAATTCCTAAACACACTTCTATTCCTTGAAGGGTAGAGCAAAGGCATCTAACTAGTGCTGCCTGTGCCATTTTGGCTCTAACATCTGTATCTTTATCAAGAAGGTTCATCTATTTAAAAAATCTGTAAGATAAAAGTCAGTAATAAAAGATCATGCTTTATATTGGCAATCTATTGCTCAGATTTATTGTTAAAAGTGCTACCAGGGCATAAGAAACTTGTAGATAACTCCAAGTGAAATGGATGATCTTTATATACTTTGACCAAACCTATTTAAAGAAAGAATTGAGTTTGCAGGATGGGGTATATGTAATTGCCCTTCTGAGCACAATTTATCTCACCTAATAGTGCAGTTAAGTCTATAGCATTCCCTTAGCAATAATCAGTGTGTGAGTGTTCTGGAAATCCCAATCTCCCATGCATAATTCAGGAAAATAAACGGATAGTTTTAGGTTTTCTTTAGTGTAAAATCTAGATTGAAATTTACTATTTTATAAACTCAGTGTCCCCAATTCACCTCTATATAAGAGATACATTTATTTACCTGCAATACCAGGCTTGGAAGCTTTATAATTTACTTTCCTGCTTTATGATTTTGTAGTACTACTTGCACAGAAATACTAATACCAAATGTAGATGGACAACTCAGATTTTACCCAACAAATATTTAAAGGGAGGTACATTAAATTTTCTCTTTCAACATAGTGAAATTAATTCTGTCAATTCTTTTACTGTTGTAATAGCACAACAGTCATACAGTAGGACTAGAATTAAGTAAATCAGTTTGTGTAATCTTGAATGAGTTGCATATCTTCTCTTAGGACCTCACTGTTAAGCATATTTGTCAGGGAAGTAATAACCCCTCTTGTGTTTACTCCATAGACTGATTCTTATTTTCAGATCTTTTGAAAAAAAGTCAAAAACCTTTGTGTTTGATCCTAACCTATTATTATTCTATGCGTTTATCCTAAAAATCACTACTCTATCCCATCATTTTGTGAGTAGTTAAGGATGTGGCTTTAAACTATGAGCAACAGTGGTTGCCCTTCTTGCTATCACTGTCTTCAACCTCATCCATTTTTTTCTGCTCATTAGTTAATTAGCTACTTACCATGCTTTTGCTAGACCCTTGTGTATTTGGCACCTAGCTCTCATAGTTCTTTTATCCCAACAATATTGTCTCAAATGCCCAACTCTAATAGTTCTCTTATCCCAACAATATGTGTCTCAAATGCCCAATGCCAGAATGTTCTTCAGGATGATTGATCTTTTTCTCACTTTAGAAAAGTGGTTCTTCCTCAGTGGAGTTTCCAAAAGTGATGACGCCCCACTCCCAGATTCTGATTTTATTGGTTTAGGGTGTGGCTGAGACATGTCAATTTTATAAAGCTTCCCAGGACATGCTAAGGTGCATATAAAAGTTGAGAACCACTAATCTAGAAGATTCTAGAAGGTCTGAGGAAAATTGACATTGTATTACTGCTCCTTAATTAATTCCATTTTTTTAAAGATTTGCATTAAAAGTCACAAGTTTTCAAGCATAGGAAATTGTTAAAAGATGCCTACTGTTTTTCTTGTGAATTAAGGGAGATTGAAAAATATTTCATATTGTAGAAACTGTTCATCTTCTGATTTCATTGTAATGCCAGTAATTCATTATAACTGCTATATATAAGACAAGCAAATATGTTCTCTTTTGGCCTACTGAGACTTTTGAAATCCCTAAAGAGAGAAACACTGTACAAGGGAAAGTTATTTCATATGCTTCTGAATATTGGAAATATTTTTTTCTAACTATGCATGTGGTATAATGCAAAAATATTTGCTAATAATATGTAATAGTAATACTTTTTGCTGGTTTGTTTTTGGTTTTTTTTTTTTGGACATGATCAAGAGCTGAGGATATTTGTGAGCAAATTCAGATCGAATACTTTTTATATTAGTTTTCATTCATGTGCTAAAACATATTCAGTTCTGTTGCTATGTATTGTACATACATAATATCCTTAAATGGCAGATGTAAGTACATATAGGACATGTGGCTGACTATATGATGAATCTGATGAATGACAGTATTATGGATTTTAACCCTTCTTGGGCCTAGATACATTTTCTGTCTTAAGAAAAAAACTTTCCTTATTACTCAGCCATCAGAAAGGATGAATACCCAACTTTTGCATCAACATAGATGAGACTGGAGGAGTTTATGCTGAGTGAAATAAGTTAAGCAGAGAAAGCCAATCATCATATGGTTTCACTTACTTGTGGAACATAAGGAAAAACATGGAGGACATTAGGAGAAGGAAAGGAAAAGTGAAGGGGGGGATGTCAGAAGGGGAGGCGAGCCATGAGAGCCTGTGGACTCTGAGAAACAAACGGAGGGTTTTAGAGGGAAGGGGGTAAAGGGATGGGTGAACCTGGTTGTGGGTATTAAGGAGGGCACATATTGTATGGAGAACTGGATGTTATACATAAACAATGAATCTTGGAACACTACAGCAAAAACTAATGATGAACTGTATGGTGACTAACATTACACAATAAAAAAAAAAAAAAACTTTTTTAAAAATTTAAAATTTCTTTTTTGGTTTTTTTTTTTTTTTTTTTTTTTTTTTTTTTGTCCAGAGACGCCCAAAGAACAAATATATGTCATGTGGGAACATTGACTAACATAACTAATATTGTTACATCAGATTATCTAGATTTACCTAGCAGAACACTGGGATGTAAAGGATTAGGACAAAGTAAGGAGATATTTTGATTGGGAGTTTGGATATAAGAAAGGTCCAGTTTATGAGGTAGACTTCACAGAGCACTACTGGATGTTACCTGACAATAAGAGCAGGGCAGGTGGGGATGGGGCTCATATCAAAGAGATAGGTGAGAACTCATGGAGCTGAACAACCAAATCTCAGAACAAGAGGTGGGACATGTGTCAGATAGAAGGAAAGGAAAGAATAACTTCCTGTTTTATGTATTAAGGGAAGGGGGAAAATAATGTAAAAAGCTCACTATCTAACAATGCTATGGTTGCAATATCCATTATCCATTAATGCCTTTATTAGTGCGTAAGAATTTCATGATGAGAGAGGGAGAGACAAAGAGAGGAAAAGAGGCTGAGAGGGAAGAGTTTGGTACTTTTCAGGAATAGTTGACTTGGGGTTAAGAAAAAAATTAAACTTCCCCTCAAATAAAAAATGGTTCTTCCTTTCTTTTAACCAACACTAGCCCCTCTTTGCCTGTTGATCATTTCTTATCCTAATGTCTATTCCAAATGATACTGTATCCCAACTCTAAACTGTAAAGTCCTTGAGAGCAGTGGCATC